AAAAAGCTAATAGTCTTTTTACTATGCTATAGGAATTAAAATTAGTTTATTTTATAATTTTATTCTTTTATTTTGTTAGATTTTATTTTTATTTTATTTTACGTATATAATAAAGAAAATTGATATCTGTTTTCAAGTATAGTAGATAGTTTTGTATATAGTAAACTACATTTGGCTTAGTTATATTTAAAAGTAATTTATTTTATGCTTTAGTGATTTTTCTATTGTTTAAACAACAGAAATTGAATTGAAACAGCATAATCTAAACACTACTCTGAACACACTAATTGATTCTTACTAAAAAAAATTGATAAAAATACGACTTGTAAAAAATGAACAAATTCATTTCACTTCTAAAAACAAAGGTAACAGAAAGAAAAAGATCAAAATTGAAATTTTTGCTATTAATGCTATTGTGATATTTGATGCAGGAAGTTTAAAGACATTAGAAGGAAAATTCAAAATGACTATTTATCCAACTGAAATTCTTCTAAATAAACAAATAATTTAAGAATCTGGTGTCTTTGTCAATATTAATTTTAATGATAGAATACTGTACAAATTTTTTATTTCAGAAGGTTACTCTTCAATTCTTGTTTATAAAAATATAATTAAATTAAAACTAAGACCACTTAAAAATTTAGCAGTGGCTTAGCATTTGATGTCTTTAGAATATTTGCACCATATTAGTTGTAAAATAAATAAAATAAAGATATATTATTCAACAAATAAAAAATCTCCTTAGTGTAAGAGTTTGTTTTATTAAAATGAATATAATTCTCATAAGCTTTTTGATATATTATTTGAATTAGATCTTGCAATCTTACTTAATTGTAAATTCCAAATCTAATATTGCTTATTTTAGGTTTTCTCTAACCTAGTCTAGCTATATAATTATTTAGAATAATTAACAATAGCATTATATAGAAAATTAGGGGGTATAATGTCGTATTGGGTGCCTCATTAGTAGCACAAGTGTAGTTCGAAATCTTTAAATGTAGATCTTTTTCTACTTTTTTAAATAAAGTTTCAACTATGGCATTTACAACAAAAAAAAAAAAAAAAAAAAAAAAAAAAAAACCTTAAAAGCTTCCTTTAACTTGTTGGATATAAAATCCTTATCATCTATTAGAATATTTCTCACTTTTATTGCCAGATGTGTTCTTCTCAGGTTTGTAGATATGTAACCCAGTAACAATCTTCTAAAAAGGGAGATACCTTCTTTTGCATAATATTGTTGTATATCTTCACTTTTAAATACCAGTTCTAAATGTATTCTTTTTCTCTAGTATAGTGAGGTTTTACCTCAACTAGATCATTGCCTATTTTACTGTATAAAATAGAGATAATATTATTTATTTGTATGTCATCCATACTACGAATATCAAAAATGAGTGCATTATTATTCTTTGTTGTAATTTCCACTCTTGGTGTATATTTTGAAAAAGTTGCTTGTCTCTGTCTTAATTGTGTAAAGAGGCTAGTCCATTTCTTAAGGATATATATTGGTTCACTTGATTGTGCATCTGCTATCACTTCTTCTGATTCTAAACTGTTAATCATGTTTTGTGGCTTAGGATCTACATATACTACTATAATATCAGTATCACATGATACTATTCTGATTGATTATGATTCTGTGAACTTTCTGGAACCTTCTATGTTGTCTTTACTTCCAGGTGGTGTTTCAAGTATAGACGCATCTTTTTGAGACCTCTCCTCTTCAGTTATATTAAACTAGTTATTGACATGTTTTCTTTAACCTTCAGCATATTATTCTCTTGTTTATTTATCTGTTTTGCAGAATCTAAGTTTTCTTTGTCGTGTCGCCAGTTTCATATTTCGATTTTGGGCTATTTTTGTGAATTTTTTACCTTTTTTCACTCAAATTTTCAGTTCTTAATTCCTCCATCTTTCTTTTCTTCGTTACCAGGGCCTCTATCCTTGGTGAGATATTTTTGTTACTATAAACTTTAGTCTCTTTTTCTATTTTAAACTATTTTTCCCTATGAAAAAATATATATGAAAATAATAAAGAAAATTACAAATAATATATGGAATATAATATATATATACTGAATAATAAGTTTATATAATTAATTAATATTGAATTATTATATTGAATAGATACGGAATCATTTTTGATACAGAATGAATGCAGAATTGTTATACTGAATAGATATGGAATTATTTTTGATATAGAATGAATGCCGAATTGTTATACTGGATAGATACGAATCATTTTTGATACAGAATGAATGCAGAATTGTTATACTGGATAGATATGGAATAATTTTTGATATAGAATGAATGCTAAATTGGTATACTAAATAGATACAGAATCATTTTTGATACGAATAAATGCAGAATTGTTATACTAGATAGATACGGAATCATTTTTGATATAGAATGAATGCTGAATTGTTATACTAGATAGATACAGATTTATTTTTGATACAGAATGAATGCTAAATTATTATACTAAATAGATACAGAATTATTTTTGATACAGAATAAATACTGAATTGTTATACTGAATAGAAACAGGATAATTTATGATACAGAATAAATGCTGAATTGTTATACTAGATAGATACAGAATTATTTTTGATACAGAATGAATACTAAATTGTTATACTAAATAGATATAGAATTATTTTGATACAAAATTGTTATACTAGATAAATAATAAAAGCATAAATATTCATGAATTTGCTTTTTTTTATTGCAAATAATATTTGATTTAAGCTTAAATATATTTATAAAGATTATGTATAATTCTATATCTATTCAGCATATAATTTGGCATTCATTCTGTATTGAAAATAATTCTGTATCTATTTAATATTAAAAATAATTTTATATTATACTTTTCTTTAACTCAATAGTTCTTCTTTACTATAACTATACATCTTATACAACAAGATAATATTATTTTGACAGATGTCAATCTAAATTAAGCAAATAGTTTTTCTCTATAGAATTGATACTGGTATTTTATCCAATCAGAATGTGCATCACATAGATCATATTTATTTTTTAAATTTTTTTATTTTATTTTTAAACTATAGCAGTCATATTGTTTGTAGGTGCAGATAATTACTACTACATTATTTTGGATTGGTGCTAGTATTTAAATTTTTGTTAAGAAGTAATTAAGTCATAGTTATGCTGCTGTATTTTATTCTTTTATTAAGTTCTGATCGTTTGTTGTTTAGTCATCGCTGGTACTGCTAAGTAGAAGTCGCATTAGTATTAGTAATTAGATAGTAGCAGATGCTACTATATTTTGTTTTTGTTTTGCTACTAATTAAACTGATATTGTTAATTAGTCATCATTGGTGCTGTTAAGTAAGTTGTCATTAGTACTAATTAGGTATATGCTTAAACTACTATTGTATTTTGTTCTTTATAGGTCATTTATTTGGTTGCTATTGGAGCATAGTCATTGGTACAGATGATTAGATCATGATTAGGTCATTGTTAGTGAGTATCTTGTTAACTATGTCATTAATACTAGCTGTAAGATCTTGTTGTTTTTTTTTTTTTTTTTTTTTTTTTTTTTTTTTTTTTTTAATTCTTTTTTGAATAGCAAAGAAGGGTCGCTTTTTCTTTAAAAGCAAGTTTTGTTCTTTAATCC